GGGGGGGGGGGGGGTGCAGGCGACGCGCTTCTCATTGGAGGAGAACGGTTGAACTGGTGCTTCCGGTCAACACCCTTGCCGTCGTTGGTGGTAATTCTCTCGCCTGAATGACCTGGACTCAAGTGCTCTTACCCCCTTCGACTGGAGAACGCCACTCGGCACGCTCAAGCAAGAAAACGTCTTCTCCGTCTGGGGGGATCGTCGTGATTCTCCTGTTATTGTCTCCAACCCCATTCGAGGGGAAGTCGGAGAGCAGCCGCATGGTGAGGATGGCCACAGAAGTAGTGCTTACACCAGCCCTTGGTCTTCGTAGAAGCTCTTCGCCGTGGCTTCCAGCAGCTCGCGCTGCCTGTTCGCCGCGGCCTCTTCCTCCTCTTTGGACTGTTTTGGCTTTCTCTTCCTCTGACATGCGCGCACGGGGGAGGGGGGGTGGGTCCGGGGGTGGCTACGATCGGAGCCGAGAACATCAAACCAATTCCCGACAGGACATGGTGCAACAGCAGCAAACGGGTTGCCGTGTGCATGCCAACAATCGCAGCAGCAGCGAGGCTGTACGAGAAGCACACGAATGCCAGCAACACAAATTCATACATGCGTCAAAAAGTGGTCTCTGCGTCCACAGCGGTTGCTCTGGAAGGCGTCCGCCCGCATACAAAGGAAGGCCACGGCTTCCCCTACGGACCGGAAAATATGTTCCCTTAGGAGTTGCCAAATGTCACAACCAACGCAAGGGCTTGGACCTCGAGTGTGACGATGACAGACGTCCGATCGATCACGATAGAGGCACACCACCGGTGGAATTGGACTCCACCTAGGGCGTTGCAAGCCGCGACACGGGCAGAGCACATCGGAACAACACATCCTACACGATGGGCAAACAGTTGCCCACCGATTCAGGGCTTGAGCTGACGAAGAGCCGATGGTCGACCTTATCACCTAGCACTGCTGTGCATGCAGGCACATTGTTGATCCTAGGTCGTACCGGCCGTGCGTGTCATTTTGGCCGAGAACAAGGATAAGTTGACCCACGTCGTCACCTTTTTTCTCGCTTGCTCCTGTTTCGTGTCCGCTGCCGCCCCTTCCTCGGCGCCCGTAAGGTAGGCCTCCAGCCCAAGCCTCTGTCCAAGTTCAGGCAGGCGCGGCAGTTGTGGGTTCAGTAGAGTAGGGAGAAGCGACGGCGCCAGGTACACCGTCGGTGCAGAATAGAACGAGCACTCAAAGGAGAATCAAGTGCAGCTTCTCGCCGATGACAATTGTGGAATACTCGGTTGCGAAAACGGCTCTTTAGCGTGCTTGTGGGGTGAGAGGACACCAATCAACCGGCAAAGTATTCTTCGCCATTGCGCGTTGATGGTATCTAGGGGCTCTTTCAATGGCGCGGCTAGGGTCAACGCCCGAGCGTGCCTCCGTGTCCACAAGCGGATAGCACACCTTGATGGCCTCCACGACGTCTTCGTTCGACATGACCTGGTTTTTCC